TCCAGCAGAAGCTGCCTCACTAAGATCGATGAATTACGATAATAAGGTGTCAGAAGTACATTCTACAACAAAGCTGATTAAAGTACAATCTTTTAATCATCGGGCAGATGAAAGCTAGACATTGCCACGGTGTGAACCGACCAAAACAGTCGATTTAACCTCTGACACTGTCTGAATGTTTGGTTTTCATCCTCATCAGACGACGTCTTGCCCACCCATTTGCCTCTTTCAGCAAATAAAATCGGTGCAGGCTCACCTACTTTGACTCAAACTGAGATTTCATTGTGATTATCGACTGGAACACACATTTTTAATCGTATAAATTGGAAAACACGCATCCCAATACATTTTAGTTTGAAAAAGATGTTCTTTTGGATGTAACGCAACTTTAATTAGTGAATTTTCGAGTCTTGTGCCCCAAACAGCAAGATCCGCCTCAAAACGCATCCATGAGCAACAATTGGCCGTGAAGCGAAGTGGCCATTTGTCCGAAGTGGCCAGGCATTGCCTCGACACAAGACACACCGTTGCATGGGATAAAACACGCATCGTTGGAGTTTGCTCATCTAAAAATGGCCGAGAATTTCTTGAGGCCATGCACTCCGAGGACTCATGCATCAATCAGCACATACATTTTGATGGTATTTATGAACACTTCAAAGAACGCCGGAAGAAGGGAAGGCGGCACGACATGGACTGATTGAGGCCACACCTACCAATCAGGTCTCGCCCCGTATAGTTATTGATCTTCTGCACGTTTAAAATGTTATTTTTTCATTGCACAGATTCTGTTATTCTGAAGACGAGCGAGGGCATCAGTCTCAAAGTTTCACTAATTAAAGTTACGTTATATCCCAAATAACACACATTATCTAGTCATGACCTTAGTGACGTCATGGAGCTGACATCGTACGCCGTGATTCATAACAACCAGGGTGGTTCATACAAAGGATGTGGGTTGAGGCAAGGTGTAGCGACTAGTGTTTTTGACAGTGATGTGTCACAGTATACTAGTATCGTCACTGTCGTACCATCATCAGTTCATATTTGAGTAAGTGCAGTTTCAAGAATTTCGTTAATGCCAATCTTCTACGCCAAACTCACTCATGTCAGGCATCTCCTACGCGTTGTGTGGTCCTGCTTCATAACCAGTTTCATGACACTGCGTCAGTGAACTTCAGCATAGATCACTCCGAGTTTTAATGCATTTATTTGCGCGTTTAAATACTTACAAAAAGAAATTTTTTGCAAATGGCCTCCACTGCCAGGGTTCCAAAAGTAGGTGCTTCACAAACATCGCCTTTTTGCGATAATAAGGTGCCAGAAATATCCATACGTTCCACAACAAAGGTGGTTAAAGTACAATCTCATCATCATCGGGCAGATGAAAGCTAGACGTGGTCACGGTGTGAACCGACAAAAGCAGTCGATTTCACCTCTAAATGTTTGGTTTTCATCCCCCCAGCAAACGGTCTCCTGCCCACCCATTTGCCTCTCCGAGCAAATAAAATCGGTGCAGGCTCACCTAATTTGACTCACACTGAAACTTAATTGTGATCATCGACTGGAACACACCTTATCTAGTCTTAATCCTAGTGACTGTCATCGCATGCCGTGATTCATAAAAACCAGGGTGGTTCACGCAAGCGACGTGGGTTGAGGCAAGGTGTACGTAGTGACTTGTGCTTATGACAGTGATGAGTCAGAGTACACTAGCGTCGTCACCGTCGTCCCGTCATCAGAGGTCCAGCTCACAATATCGCAAGCACTGTGCATTACACATCATCCGGCTCTGGCAGTTCTGTTTTCTGTGTGATCTGCTGCGATTGGGTGGTCCGAGGCCGCATACTCCGAGTGCCTACGCACGACCTTGCAATACACTGTGGAGACTGAAGTCAATCATCTAAACATTTTTCATGTGAGGTTTTAGCAACCGTCTAAAGTGCATGATAATGTCAGTTGGCAACTGCTGTCATGCGGTCGACAGAACAATTGCAAGTGCCTATGATGTTGTAGATGGGTTCAGCTCAGAGCAAGGGCAGTTGTCTAGCGATGACTTAAAAAAATAACTAGAATGCTAGCTATACCGAGGTGTCTGTTAAAGTTGTTCGTTGACAGACTGGATCTAAATTGAGCACATGATTGGCTAGAATGCGAACTTGATTCTTGAGATTTGTATGAAAAAAATATAAATTTCACAGGTGTAGGCCTTTTTCCTTAAATACACTGACTGACTACTTACAGGCGGGGAGGTCGTTGATGTGATTACATTTCGCTGTTTGAACCCGTTTACCATAGTAACTCATCCTCAAGGAAATTACCGTTATTATGGGGTTTTGGCAGATCTGCCTAATTTAATTGATTTGAATT